GGGGGGGGAGGGGGAGAGGGACAAAAGTTCATTGACTAACGCGATTCTCGGCGTACTAACGACGAGAAAGAAAAACGTCCCGCGCGCCATCGAGGCCTGAAACATTCAAATCGCCCCCGCGATTAAATCGTTCGCCACGTTTTCATCCCATCAATTATTCGCGATCCGATACGCTCCCGGTCTCAAGAGGATCGTAAATACGATACAAGCGCGATCGTAAATCGTCTACGAACAACGAGACGACTTCACGCGAGAGGGTGAAAACGTCCCCCTTTGCTTAGATCGCCTTGCTCGGATCGTTCCCTGTCCCAATTCACGTAATCGTCCACGATTTTCTCTGCTAATTGTAAGAGCAAGTTCGAACTAGGAAAAAAAAAATTACGAACGAAGAAGGAAAAAGCAATTGAAAATACTTTCATTTCGCAGGGAGGTTTGAAAGCAGCGATCCTCTCGGACGTTATACAAGGTCTGACGATGATCGGCGTCTCGCTGGTGATAATCACCAAAGGCTCCGCTGATATCGGGCCCGATAAGATTTTAAACGTGACGTATGAACGTGGCCGATTGGATTTCTTCAAGTAAGTATCAACATTGTGATCCAATTTCTCTCTGAACGTGAGTGGTAAGCAACAAGCGTGATCCGAGTCGCGTGAGTCTCGCGGATTTTATTTTATTAGACATTTATCGACAATATCGCGAATCAACGTAATCAAGGTGTCTAGCGGGTACGAGACTCCGACTCGAGTTTCACACGTAATTTGTGCCGTGCAGATATTCTTTTGTTGTTGAAACTGTCAGTCGACGGAACACTTCAATCGGTATAAATACTATACAATTATCGCAATATTATAATTAAATTTCTGTTCCTGGACTGATGAGTTCGATAAGAAAACTACAGTACGAGGCATTTTCAGCCAATTATTCAATTTTCGAGTCGTTCGTACAAAACTGCGTTTATTTTTTTACTGCGCTGCATAATCAAAATTGGAATCATTGAATAAAAATTTTATTATTTGAATAATTTTAACCATGAATGTTCGTGACTTATATTTTCGAGTAGATTTTTTTCCTGTATGAAGCAAACAAAAAAAAAAAAATAAAATAAAATAAGAAAAAAAATTTTAGACAAGCGTCTTGAAAATACTCTTCGTATTGCCACTACCTGTATCAAACCAGATATTGATGAATTGGTATTTAAGAAACGATATTAAAAATTTTCATATTTTTTTAATTAATATAAATATATTCATCTGATCGGTGTATCGTTTCACTATAGAAGTTGTTCTAATATCCTCACAAATAACATTGAACTGTGTAAACTATGCACGGCCCTCGACAAATTTTTGTTGGCCAATGAAGCCCGGAAGATCTAAATTAAAACCATGCTTCAAAGAGTTACTTTTACTTCTCTAAAGTGATTCAACTTCAACGTTAGCTCTGAATAATCGGCCTTCCGTGGTAGATATAGCAAAAGCTAGCTTAAGAGCAGCGACGAGATTGCGAAACATTCGTCGCGTAGTTCCAACGCGAAACGATTCGTCTCGCGAGACGGGACAAAGTAAGCGGAAGGGGCAAAGTAACCTCGATTTATAACCGCAGAAATGAATAAGGTTCCCGGGGCGAATTAGCCGAAATCCGCCATCGCGTCGGTGCGTTTTACAACGAGATACTCTGCGATCTCTCACCGAGTCGCATTCATACAACGTTCCGACTATTTTGAAAACGAGGACCGCTCTCGATCGGTCGGCACTTGAATTTCTCTCGAGTTAATCGAACCGAATCTCTGGTTTCAGCACAGATTTGGATCCAACCCTCCGCGTGACGACTCTGTCGGCAACCTTGGGTCAATTATTCATGAGCCTGTCCATCTTCGGTTGCCAGCAGAACTTCGTGCAACGATACTGCAGCATGACGAGTCAACGAAAAGTCGTCAAGTGAGTAATCTCTTTCGCTGAAATCTTGCAGGTGATCTTCAACAGAAACTCGCCTTTTCACCGATCCTCTGCCTCTGCTGTTCTAACAAAATCCTCCAGCGAGATTACAAGTCTCGTGTTCGTAACCTCGAGTAAAAATTTCGATGTTTCTGCAATTTCTGCAGAAAATTGCACGACGTCCACGACAACGGGTACAAAACATGAATACAAAGATTTCCGGCAGAGCTTCGGTGGCACACACCGAATTAACATTTTACGCTACAGATATGTGAACAAGTGTCGCCTAGATAACAACACTATTATGCTTGAATCCGTGCCTCGCAAGCGGGAACGTTTATTAAAATTCAACAGGATATAACAATAGGATATAAAGATATAAAAACATATTTTGCTACATATTCGGTACGGTTCTTTTCAACGCTTACATTCTATATTCTAAGTTACCTACTTCGACGAAGCAATCACTGGCAAATTTTCGTCTGAATATTCGCAGAAGAAATTCGCATGTCACGGGATTAATTTGATCTAATATCTTTGCGGAACGAATGAGAATTGCGATTCCTCGGAATCGAGGCGGCAAAAGTGCGAGACGAAAGTTTGCCGATCACTTAGTCGACGTGTACGAGGAATCTCGGTGACTGCTTCCCCTGGAGCTAGACGAGAGGCAGGGAAATCCTGACGGGCACGACTTCGAAAGGAACTCTGTCCGATTCGGTCGTATCTACTTTTCTTTTTCCTTCTTTAATTCTTTTTCTTCTTACGTCTTTCACTTTGTACACTTTCTATTTTGTTTTTCTTCTTTCGTTACATTTGTCCCATTCTTTGTTTCTCGATCGAGACGATCGACTCTTTAATTAAAAGGTCAATCACGAGTGGCGAAATGAGTCATCGTCACGCTGCCAGAGACGCGCGACTTTTGTCTAGCCGTTGGTTATCTTATTATTATGAACCGAGTGCGCGTGGCAGCGCGTCATAAGCAGTCATTTTGCATTATGCAATTTGTTACAGTTATCTGACTATTCTTTTTTCACTTTTTCTTCAGCGATACCCAAGACAGACGACGACAATGTTCGCGTTCGAGCTCGACGAGCGTTAATAAGAGAGCTAAGACAGACGAGAAAGAGCCTTTCTAACGACAGAATCGCTCGCGAGTGAGAAAAAAGGAAGTATAGCTCGTAATAATCTCGACGAGATCGAGACGTACTCGCTGCTGTTTAAGAACCGCGCGCGCTCCTATTCAGTCGACGCAATAACTTCGTTTTTCATCGACGAACACCCGCGATGAAAAGCGACGTTCCTTTCTCCGTCGAAAGTA